TTTTTTTGGTGACATAACTAATAATCGTTGACAGTTGGCTGTCAAGTTTGTCATATGACCTAAATGTGACATGCTTCATGAATCATACGTCGTTCCTTCATGCGACAGTTGACAGCTGTCAGCTTGATGTTATTATTTGAATTCGATTGAACTCTTATGGATTTTTCTAGTTGTTTATTTTGTTCTTAATATATTTTCCACTAGGATAGTTCAACCACATTGTCTCATTTGCCAGAAATTGGTTAAGGATTATTTTTCAATTCTTTTTTTTGCATTTGGGTTTGAACTTGGAAGGAAAAGTTTCTATTTTTGTATTTTTGTTCCCCTCTAGGGTTATCAGTATCGCCACTACTGGGTCGATCTTACCTGGCATTTGGAACTTTGACCTAGTCATAACTTTTGATCTACCACATAGACTATACCGGGTGCACCAAGGAAGGTCTGGACTAGTCTACCAACCCAAGTTGGCGAGCTTCACCACTGGATGGGTGCTTACGTCAATGCATCAGGGATGAAGGATTAAAATAAATACAGAGGGTGTCCCTGTATACCAAGTTTGCCCAATTGATTTATGCTATTTTTTTTTTTTTGCTCGGCTTACCGATATAGCTATACCTATTTATGTTTAAATGTTTGGTTTTGGTTATTAATTATTGATATATAAATGGCTCATGCTTCTCTTGAAGTGCTAACGATACTATTATGTGTTCATTCTCTTTGAGCTATTCCGTTCATCTGAATTGTTATTGATTGGCAATTTTTTTTGTGATTAACCAACCTGCATTTTTTTTTGTGAATAACCAAATCCGCATTCTTTTTGTAGATAACTAACCTGCAATTTTTTTTTATGGTTGTCACTAATTTGCGATTCAACTATATTTGCTACTTTATCAGTTGCTTCTTAGTATTTACAGTTTGCTTGCACTACCTGTCAACTTGTAATTTGCTTGCTATTTTTTTTTATTGCTCTTTATTGCTACCTACTATTCATTTGCTATTTTACGCTAGTGCTATTTTACGCTATTGCTATTTTACGCTATTGCTATTGTACGCTATTGCTATTTTATGCCATTGCTATTGTACTACTGTTATTCCATGCTAGATATCCTTGCTTACCGAGTTAACTATAATTAGTTTATGACTTGTCAAAGCCTACTAGGGTGGAGTCGCTAAGCGGATTCCCGACTTAGCGCAATCTCATTGTACTAGGGGAACGCCTACGCCTGAGCTCACGCGTCGCGACCAATTTATAGCACAATTTGCAGTATATTTTTTTTTGATGTGCTACTAATTATTTTCCTTTTATGCTATGTGAAAAATTCTTTTTTTTGTTTTGACATTTAGGCAGGTCAACTATTTACTTGCCTTCCCAGGGGTTGATTTAGGGTATTTATTGCAATACTCCATATGGTACTATTTTGTGGTTTGAATTGATAAACTAGTGAATAAAAATTTGTCTATGTTGAAATCGGTGTTTTATATATTTTTTTTCACTCTTATTCGGTAAATTTGAAGGGTGATAATAACTAAGGGTATTTGTGGTGGGGTAATAATTTACCTGGCGCTCAACTATTTCATCTTAATTTTTTTTTTTTTGAATTCTCGAATCCGAACCACCCCATCTCCACTGTAGTGTAGCTGCAAGTGCCCACCTGTTACCTTACAGATGTGGACAAGTGACTGCTGGCAAGTTTGAGGTCACACTATACTACTATACTAACTCCGTATCTTTCATCTGATGTGTCAATTGATGAAATTTTTTAAATGAAATGGTGAAAATGAGGAGAAGATTTTATTTCAAAATATCTTCTCCTTAACCACCCTGTATCTCTTAAGCCAGCAATATTTTTATGAGGCATGTTAAGGTGAATAATCTTCATATTTGGGTAATTACTATCTGTAGTTCAGAGATTTCTCATTCTTAATTCAATGAATAAAATTATTGAAATGTCATAAGTGGAAAATGAATCTCTTCAAGAGCGAATAACAAAAAACAAATGAAGCGAGAGAGTTTGATAAAGAGTACATTTCTCATGTGAAATTGATCGAGCTTTCAGATTTTCCACTTATTTTAATCATCAATAAATTGTCATGGAATATATGATGTGAATTATGTTCATTCTGTTGAAACTAACAAAGTTATTGTGAAATTTTGAAATAAAATCTCACCCTAGAACACCCTAAATCTCCTGAACCAACAACATTCTCATCAGGCATATTTTGCTAGATCTAATTATTTTTGTGTTTACCATCTGTAGTTCCGAAATTTCCCATTCTTAATGAATCACCCTGTATATTCACACACGAATTTCATGAAAGTCAGTTCATCACTTTAACGGAAGAATAAGCAAGTATATGAAGGAAATGAAGTAAGTATTGGTACATTTTCAATAACAAGAAGAGAGGATCAGAATATTTTCTAAGTGGATTGAATTATTGTTGTGGATCCCCAACTCGCATTCAATTGATTGTTCAGCTCCAACGTGAACACGAAAGGTTTCAGAATGATTTTTTTCATTACTAAGGAATCAAGCCACAAAATGTAGAAGAATCATTCTCATAAACTTGATGGAAAATACATTCTTGGGCGTTTTCACAAAGTTAACTCATTCTCGAACAGTTTATTCTTCATACGAAAACGACGAAACTTCAAAGGACACCAAAGTTTGTGGAACCAGAAACGTTTTGAACTCGCAAAGAGATAATTCAATATTTGAATGGAAATATTAGATTCGTATCATTTAATTCAATTTTCCAACTCCGCAGGTTTTCAATTACCGTTCATGTAGGCATAATATATTATGTATAATATACCGGTTGTTCCACTCAAGAATATCCACCCTAGATAACTCTCAGAGAGATGATTTATCGAAAATACAACGGAACATGTCGGTTTCAATTTGGAAAGGGGGAGGGGGGCGCCGTTCGACGCCAAAAAGAAATAGATACTTCAACCCTCTACTTCCCAGAGCAACGCCGTCCATGATTTGAATAGGAAATAAGGGTAATGTTACATCATTGCGAAGGTAATGCAATTCTAACACTAGCAGTGCGAAGAGATTGCAACTTCGCTCCTGAACTTTATTGATGAATTCTTGAATCCGCTCACTAGGACCAATATGTTTTTTGATATTTATGATATGTTGGCTTGAAATCCTGTGATTGATTGGTGCCTTTTGGATGTGAACTTATAGGAGCTAACACTTCTGGGGTATTGCACCTCTTTGTGATTGAGTTCCAGCAAGAGATGATTCCCATTCTCTTTTTGTAATGTTATTCAATTTTTTTGAAATAATATGAATGAGAATGGTATCCCAACTTTCAATAGGTTGCTCTAATGAAGACAAAGCATTCAAATGTTGATTCAGAGAATCAGTTTCTCAAGGCCAAATGTGATTCCCTAGGTATGATTGCAAAGTCTAAAATTGCTGATAAATGGGTATTCACGATGATTCTCGTATTTTCAAATCGATCCTTCGAAATATTTTTAGCCTTTTCATAATTTTCGTTAGTTGCTTTCATTTGGTCTAATAACTTATCAGCATCACCTTTCAGACAAGATTGTGAATAATGAAATTTTTGTACGTCTGAAAGATTATGATCATGATTTATGATAGATAGATTGAAACTTGTCCATTTCTTATAGTCACCATCAAAAAATGGAAGAGTGATATTTGGTAATTTTGTGTTACTAGTGGAAGAAGTGGAAATGCTTGTATTTGAATTGATTATTTTTGACTTGTGTTCTGATATTAGTTGTTTTGATCTTCCTAAACAGTAATAGAATGTTGGTTCAAACATTAAAAATGCTTCATTTGATCCTTTTGTGTCATCAATTAATTCAATGCTGGTGTGCAAGAAGGTTGAGTCATTTTAAGCATTTTCAATTCTTTCGACACGAAGGTCTAATTCAAATATGTTATTTTCTTCATCTCCAAGGTGAAACCTTCAATGAATTTTTAAAATCTTGTTAACTGCCCTTGAATTGCCCTGTATTTTAATGTCAAATTATCAATGACTGTCATGATGAAAAATTATTTGATTGATGATAAAATATTAATTGAAAATTGATTTCTTTGGAATATGTGAGGTAGCTGTGATCAAAAAGTAAGTAAAATAATAAAACCAATGAGAATTTCATTAATTATACCATTTATGCTGAATTGTAATGTGTACCGACTCAGAAATGAGGGCAATACAACTATCTCATTCCACTGTAACAACTCACTGACTTCATTTCAAAAGACTGTTTCCACTTCAAGTAGATACTGATGAAAGGATATGCAAATATAAACTTGTTATTTCAATAACCTTGTTTCATTTCATTTTTCATTGGGTAGGTACCAAAAATCACTCATGGAAAACATACAAATTATACCCCAAATCGAATGGCCTTCTTTTTAAGACTGCTTTCATGTGAACTTTTTGAAGAGCTCTTTGAACGGACAATTTATCAAACGGAGACAATGTTATATAACCAACCTCTGTGAATTGGGAAAGTGAAATGATTCAATGTCGGTTCTGATTTGCTTAATAGCACACTGAGGTCACATGGATATACATTGGACATCTCGCTAGGACATTCGGGAGGTCCAAAGGGTATACGTTCTTGATGGTACTGCGGACATCCGTAGTACATGGAAAGTACAATGTCTTGACTTCCCACCAAAAAAGGATATCTCTCAAGGAATGGTTTCTACCGGTCGTCTTTTAGTGAAAATAATAATATCAAATTCTTCGAAAAAATCGAAATTTTTGTTATGAGTGAATAAGATTCATTGAGACCTATCACAACTTTCACAAGAATCCGATAAGAGCAAGACTCGAAACATTGCTCAAGAAGGAGTAGTTGTTTTCTATATTTCCTTGAGGTTGGCTACCAATATGACACTTCCCCAAATAATTTCAACGACCAGGAGCTGTATTTTAACGTATAACAACTATCTTGAGATAATCCTTATTTTTGGCGAGCAGTTTACCAAAGCGGTCTGTTGTTTCAGGAGAACATCCTGCGGCTATGCACCACGGCCACGGATCGCTGACTGGCCTGTCCCACGTGACACTCCTGCTGAGCCTCGTCGTTTTGTTGATCGTGCTGCCGCACACGTAGCAGTCTTCGTTCCTGCTGCTAGGATAATATCGGTGGACACGCTGTGGCTCGAACAGTTTTGTTATATAGTTTTATATCGGTCCAGGATTTTTTATCGTGAAGTATATTAATGGAAAGGAAGGGCAGCAGGAATTTTTCGATACTATAAATCTTCGGATTGGATGTACCCTGCTGTATCTTCGTTGTTATGTTTCTCAGATGTTTTAAGTATCGCGAAGGAATATTCTCAGATATAAACTGCTGATCAATCGAACCGCATCAAGCACATTTTTGCCCAAAATTCAACACTGAATATTTTCGAGAAAATTTCACTTATTCGGATGCGGTTTCCTTTGTTCTGAAGATTGATTCTTTGGGTACATGACAGAAACACCGCTGATGGAACTTCAGGCTATACAGGGTGAAAAACAAACCTCTGTAAAATATCGAAGAATTCTCCATCATCCCAATTTGATCGGAAGTTCTTGAGATTTTTATTAAACATATTCTCATAATTCCCGAACATATTCCTCGGATTTTCTCTTATCTTTCCAGATTTCCGAAAAGAAGATATCTTTCGAAAAATGTGATAATTTGTACTGTACTGACCTGAAATATTCTAATTTGTAGCTCAAATATCACAAAATCTCTCTTGGATAGTTATTGTGACCTTCATTGCATAAAATTCTTCATTGTTTATATATACAGAGTGTTTGGCATCAAAATTAGATAGATATTATTGCAGGAAGACTGTGCACAACTCTTTGATCAACTTGTGTGGTGTTCGAGATTGAATGACAGCTACTTTCCTTGAAGTTGCAGAAAGAAAACGAGAGAAAGAATATACAGGGTGATGGAAGTTTTATACAATGAAACTGTTAGAGTTCAAAAATGTATGTGATATATCAATGGATTATTACTAATCTCTTCTCTACTCTTACTCATCATTGGAATGTTGCTCATTGTAGAATATACGAAGTGATCCACAATAATCTTCTTATTTCTCTGAACAGTTATTTTGAGGAAGTTGAAAAAAATTATTGTTCCCTATTTAGTAGGTTCCTCTCGCACCCTCAACACTTCTCTCATTCATGTGGAATGCGCTCCTATTCCTCTTCAATAGCAGTCATCAGTTGGTTGATATTTTCCAACCAACTGATGACTGCCTTTGAAGAGGAATGGGAGCGCATTCCGAATGAATTCATCAGGAGTTTGTAAGGAAATATGCCGCGAATATGTGAAGAAGTGTTGAGGGTGCGAGGGGAACCTACCAAATACTGAAAACAATGATTTTCTTCATTTCGGTGGTTATCAATTGTTCCATCGTTCTCAGTTGATACATCTCAGTTCTTGCCTTGTTTCACTCTTTGAGTAAACAAAGTCGACTTCTTCAAAATTTATATTCCGAAGAATGAGAAGATTATTGTGAATCACCTCGTATGTTCTACGCTGAGCATTAATTCAATGATAAATAGGAGTAAGAGAGATGAGAAAGAGGTTATTGATATATCACATACACTTTCGAACTCTCAAAGTTTCATTCTAAAAAACTTCCATCAATGTTAGTATATCACCCTGTATATTCTTTCTTCCGTTTTTTTTGTGCAACCACGAGGTAACTTGCTGTCATTCAATCTAGAACACTATACAAGATGATCAATGTGCTGTGCTTGGTCTTTTTGTTGTAATAATATGTATCAAATATTGTTGCCAAACGCTCTGCTGATGTATATAAACCATGTGAGATATAATACAATGAAGGTCGCAATAACTTATCTAAGAGAAAATATGTGATATTTGAGTTGCAAATATGAATATTTCTGATCAGTAGTACAAATTATCACAATTTTCGAAAAAAAAAAAATCTTCTTCTCGAAAATCTGTAAAAAAAGGCAAAATTAAAAATCCATTTCGAGGAATATGCTCGATAATTATGAGAATATGCTTAAAAAAAAATTTCAGAAATGTTCCATCAAATTGGGAGTATGAAGAATTTTTCAATATTTTGCAGAGGTTTTATTGTGGCTATACACCAGAGGTTACCATGCAATTCCATCAGCGGTCACCCAAAGGATCAATCTTCAGAATATAAAAAACTGCATTCGAATAAGTGGAGTTTCCGCGAAAATATTCAATGTTGAATTTATAGCAAAAATGTGCCTGATGCGGTTCGATTGATCTGCACTATTATAAACACATGAGGTGTAGGTCCCATGGGACCTATATGTGGTCTACCATACGATAAACGGTGTTTGAAAAAAACCTGACCCCATTGCCAGGGTGCGTAGAACTACTTCAGAATCAGTTGTTTTGTTCAGTACAAAATTGGTATAATGTTTTTTTTTTTCATATTTTTCAAGATTATGTCGAAACTACCGGCAACATCGTGACGAAATTTCGTAAGGATGTGTTTTTCAAGCTAACACATCGCATGATCGCATGAATTCGTTTTTATTAGTGACTCTCATAGAGGGCGCTAGTTACACGGTTCGTAACAGTTGTTTCAAACATAACTTTTTTGAGGTTACATTTTTCAATCTAAATTTGTTGTGAACCTGAACAACATTCAATTCTCCACTAAAAAGGTACTCTTGGTAAACTCGATACTATGTTCCATTCTCGGAATATTTCGATTTGTAAATGATGAAGTGATAACTGTTGCTGATGGTATAGAGCTATGTATCATTAGAGAAGTTACCTATTATGAAAACTATCACCTAATAATATTTGAAAACCTGAAACAACAATACATTTCTAGTGCTGAACTTAATAATTGAACAATGATTCCCAAGATCAACATTGAAACAAATTTGACTAAAAGCATGGATTGCACAGTTTCTTTAGGAAAATATTTTTCTGTCGCCTTTTCCGCCATGTCGAAAAAGGTTGAGGTATGTTTGAATACGAAATAATATACCTACCAACTTTGCATGTGCAGTTTTCCTTTTCCTGTTATTACCCTATTCTATGATATTTTAATATCTTGCACTCTCCTCTTATAAGAACAATGTCAAGTGTGCCATGGCAGATTCACCATTAACATGACGTTATCAATTACCCACTCTATGATTTTTGATTTCACATTTCTTTCAATTGCAAAAACATATGAGGAAACCTACTTTCTATGAATGTATCTTTCTGAATGCTATAGATAGGTACTGTATGGGTAGTTAGTTTTTTGAAGATATGTTATTATGAGTAATCTGTTTTTATGGTTTTGGGTTTGTACCAAAGAATTTCTTGTTATCATTTCAATAAATGAAGTGCATACTTACTGAGAAACGAAAATTATCAGGAATAGAAAATTCATGAATAAAAGTTGAAAAGTAATTTGAAAATGTTAGTTCATTCGTTCCTCATTCATACTCAATTATCGGAGGGAATCATGAAGAAAGGTATACTGAAGAATATCAAGTTCTGAATATTTTTGGCACGTTGAATTTCAGAAAATTTTTAACGGAATAATATTATATCGTTGATTTCCCACAAGAATGAAGTTTGCAATCATTCGAGTGGAAAATTAGCATACACTATAACTTTCCTACGGCTCTAACAGATAAGAGCGGCATTTTTTATATCTTCGTCTTGTAGCCATCTGCTTGAAATTTGACATTCCATGAGCGATGAGATTTTTTTGACACACAATGAAGTCACTGTGATATCAGATACGGAAATAGAGTTGATAACATACAAATAAGTACCTCATTGATGAATCGAACACAGTAAAACAAGAGTATATATTTTGTGTTAGGGAGCCGTAAAAAAACAATATTTGTATGTTGAATTTTTGATACTTATGAAACAGGGTACACCTACTATTACTAAAAAAAATTAACAATTTATTAGACGTTCCACATATTGGTGATATTGTTCCACCAAACATCAATTCAATTTAAAAGTTCTGCTGCTCTTCAAAATTCGTGTATATATGAAATTTATATAATATTATATTATAATGATGTTTTGGGTCCAGCATTGTTTCAACTCCGTCTGAAAATTGTCACTGAATATACAGGGTGTTTCATTATTATTGCACAAAACTTCGAGGTCATATTTTCTGGCTAAGAATATAAGATGAACCGAGAACCGATGTCTTATTGATTTCTAAAATATACCTGAACCGATAGTGATGAAATTCACGATGTCTGTTGAAATTACAGTGAGGTAATTTTCGGACCAAATACAGTCGATTAAGTATTACCAGGAACATTATAGCCACGGGGCATGTGGAAATAGTTTTTTGCACAAAAAATACACCCAAATACATATCTTTCGGCTCTTCAGTTTTTTTCGTATCTGGGTTCTGCGTTTCAGAAGTAACATACAAAAACAACCCGATGAGAGAAAAACTGTCATAATGAAGATCTAGTTGCCTGTTCACCTAATCAATCAATCTAACTATGGCGAAACAAGAACCAACGTACCTATAAATGTCAATTTAGAAATTGATGAAAAATAGATTTTTTTTAAGGAACATGAGCGCCCTGTATCTTGGAAGTTAATCGTTCTCGGTCATATACAAGGTGTTTTTGGAATAAGTGCACATATTCAGCACATCATATGATATAGTCTGAAGAATATTCCCATGATATCAGATTTTTTTTCTTCTGATCAACGAAAAATTTCATTCAAAGAATTGAACAAAATACGAGAAAAAAATCAAGTACGCCACTTTGTTACAATTCAAATGATTGAACTTCGCGTGATTGTGCCTACCGCATGGAAATTTGAACAGATGTGACGTCATATTTGCTACAGTGCGGAACTTTGGGTGAAAAAAGGGGTCTAACCTCAAATTTTCTTTTGATACCTAAATTTTTTTTATTAGTGCCATTCGATAATACACGTCGAGCTCTCTCAGTGTTTGAAATATTTGCACTTATTGCAATGCTATCCTGTATTTATATTAACTTCTCTTCTCATGATGACCCACAATATATGACCTTGAACGTTTGTGCAATAATAATAAAAAGTGATTGCGTTCATCGAGATAAACACTCGTAAATACGGACTCAATTTAT